ACCTTTAAGGTTTATAATTCCGAATTAATTAAAAGCTTATTTAATTATTCCGAAATTAATTATTTTGAATTAAATATTCATTAAAAGAGCTGCAATCAGAATTACTTTCTTTTAATGTCCACTTATTGTATTCGGGACAATTAAATTATATGTATATCAAATATATATATATTAACTCTAATTATATTTTGGTACTTAGGATAATTTTAGAAACAGTTTATACAAATTAATTCTCTAAAAAACCGAGCTGCAAACCCTAAGGTTCCATAAACCCCTACTAAACTCATTTTTTACCCACACCACCAAAACGTGCAAACGAGGGCTTGAATTGAAGCTTGGAGGGAGTGGATTGAGTTTCTTACCTTGGAAGCTTCAGAGTGTGCTTGAATTTCTTAAAACGTTAAACTTTGCTTGACTCTTGGAGGAAGAATGAAGATGAAGAGATGGGGAGAATGAGACAAAGGTGGAAATGAAAAAGAGAAGAAGAGTCTTAGACGTGATATCATCCCAACTAATGGGATTTCAGCTTTGTTTTGAAAAATATGGGTTAGTTACCCATTTGGTCACTTCTCCTTTGGACTATGCTTTAAAACACCATTTTCATCTCCCTTTTGGGCTTATACCAAGCCCAAACCACAACCCACTTGGGTCAAGCCTCTCATAAGTTAAGGAAAATTCCACTCTCAGGCCCTTTGGAAGGCCCAAAACTCCTCGCCCAGAAGTTGGTACGTTACAATAATATTGATGTTAGAGACCTAGTATACGTTTACTCATGGCGAGACCCTTAGCAGAGACTAATAGAAGTGTGAGACTTATATTATAGTGATGGAACTATTGAACTTTAATCATAAGGAGTATGTTGACCGGGTGTACATTTTCGATGCAGAAATTCTAGATCTCACCCTAGGTAGGCTAGAGGGGTGTGTCTTTTACAACGCAACGAACCTTCTGAGCACACCATGATACCTACCTCGACATTTGTGTTTAACATACTTGTATATTTATGCCTTTACTTGCTAATATGACCATGTAGCGAATGCACGTAGTATATTTTAGTTATTAGTGTAACATTAAGCTTGTGAGCTCAGCGTTTGCACATGTTCTTAAAAGGATAAGCTTATTGTACAGCTGATATTCCAAACTTTCTTATAGCAGTAGAGTATATCATTAATCATTTAGTTGAAGACATACTATTCATAGACCTTCTCGTGATTGAGTCGTAACTTTAGTTTGAAATATTTGAGTTGTATTTTGAAACGTATTGGGAGTTCCTATTTGTAAACTTAAATACTTATGCTTTTACCTTGTGGTTTTTTTAAGTGACGATATTTTAAACGTTGATTTCAGTGTTTTTAAAGAAAATTTTTAGGTTAACCATTTTAATGATAGGTTAACTATTTTAATGGTCCCGTATAACATTTTAATTGGATGATTTTCGAATTGATTCGAATTAAAATGTTATAATGATACTAAAATATTACATTAATATTAAATAAATAAAATAATATTATTTTGAATACTTATACTTTGAAGTGAAAAATTAAAAAGCATTTTACGAAAAATCAGATGGTAAAATATTTTACAGAAAATAAAAAGGACTAGAAAACTGAATTACATTATGAAAAATCAATTATAACTATTAAACACTATAAAATATTTTCGTAAAACGAATTACATCCATCAAGCATTGAAAAATATGTTTCGAAAAATATTTTTCAAATATCAAATACAAGAAAATGAAAAAAATATTTTTTAACTATCAAACATACCTTCAGTTTTAAAATTTTAAATCGAATTGAACTCAGTAATATTTAAACTTAACTCGATTTGTTTATAACCTTAAACCCGTAAATCTAGAAGACAGCGTGTCTTTCAAATATTATGTAAAACATGTCAAAGTGACCCGAGTATCTTCCCTCGTATATATACACTACCTTATTTGAGAAAACAATTTTTCCTTCACCTCATATCAATCATCCTTTTTTATCGCATTAACTAAAGAAATTTGTCAATTTTGATCCTAATGAATTTTTCCTCCTAACAAATACAAATTTTGTATTTAACCAGAAAAAAGAAAATGATATAAAAAGCTATGAGTCATCACTCACCGGCCAGGCACTCATGATCACTCAGCGGCCACCACCATGAATCATCATCACTCATGCAAAGTGGACCCTAACATCAGATAGGCTGGCGGTGGCCATCACAGGTGTTTAAGCTTTGCCGAATGATTGATGCGTCCTTTGAATTCCGTACTTAACTGCTCCTTTTCCTTTTGTTTGAATTCAGAATCAGGTGGTCACGGTTGAGAGTGTTTGTCAGTAAAGAAAATCCAAGAAAGATTAATGCAGAAACTGACAAATTGGAGAGAGAAAATGATTACAAGCATAAGTATAGAAGAAATTTTTTCTCATCTGTATTCATTTACAAAGTATTGATCAACTTTCTTACCAAACATTTTGATGCAGAGGCGTATCAAACAACCCAGCATCTCTCATCTCACCGTTCCAACTCAAAATCTTCTTCCCGCTCATCAAAAATGTTTATCTTTGCTGCACAATTAGGGTGAAAACCATAAGAGAAAAACACAACCTACCAGCTACTAAAGCCTATTCCAACAACAGCAAACCCAGAACCAAACTGAGAAATACCATTAACCAGTAATTTAAATAGTTGTTAGCAACTACAATAACGCTAACGCCGGTTATATAATCCGATATTGATGTCGTCCAAAATTATTATTATATGATCGTGATACCTATAATCATTATAATAATATTTATTATATCTACAATTATGATAAACACAACGTAACTAAAAATACTACAATTTGAATTTCTACAATTAACAACACACGTAATAACTCTCAAGAGATTTTTATACAACCTAAGGGGGTGTTTGGTTCAAGGATTGTGGGATTCCCATGGGATGGGAATCCCACATTCCCATGTTTGGTTGGCCGGGAATCTCATTCCCGGTAATGTTTTATTACCAATAGTAGATTTTTTGGGGTATATTACCGGGAATGTCATTACCTCCATTCCCTTAGGTATTGTAACATTACCGGCGTTTTAGACTAAAATGCCCTTAAATTTTTATTTTTTTCAAAAAATATTCTTCTTCTGTCATTGAATAATAAAAATTCTACGAAGGTTAAATTACAAATTTATCCTTAAATTATTTTAGATTTACAAAAAAAAAAAATTTATAATTAAAATTTTATATGAAGTTTAGGGGTTTAAAAAAACTTTATCCTTTCATTAAACCTTTTTTATATTTTTAATTTTGTAAAAAAAATTATATAAATATTATGAATTTAATTTTTTAAAGAAAATATATAAATATTTTACAATTTGTAATATTATACAAATATATAATAAGGACAATTTGGTCAAATATGCATTCCAATAATCTTTTATTCCTTTAACCAAACACGGTAATCTTACATTCCTGCTAAACCAACCAAACACAAAATACAACATTCCCAGTAATCCTATTACTTGGTAATCTTTTATTCCCACTGGTAATCTTACATTCCGTGAACCAAACGCACCCTAAGAGTATAAAATTTTTATAACAAACATAATGACTTTCTTAAAGATAATAACTAAGATACAAAATTTTATATCAAGAGATTTTTATCTTTAAGAAATATATTAAAAATTTAAGAGTATAAAATTACAATATTTAAAGATGTATAAATTTCATCAACTAAAATTATAAAATAAATAATAAAAATTTAAAAATTTCAAGATGCGATATTCGATCAGTTCATCTTCATGAAGTAAGAAACCCACCAAACTGGTCTCAAAACACAACCACCCAGATGTTAATAGTGACAGAAGATTCCAAGCAGCCTCCTTTCCATTACCACATTCCACTCTTCATTAATCAAGTTCAACAATCAGAAACTTACAAGAATCAAGTTCAAATCATGTTTTCCCGTTTAAATAGAGTGAAATAACTAGTATTTTTTCATGTATTTGGATGGTTATATCCCTAATCTATACCATGATATGGAGATGAACCAAGGACTGACGGGTGGAAACAGCCATTCCCTGGAATTTCCTGTTTTATACATGTTCTAAAAAAATTTCTATGTATTTTCAAACGATAATCTGATTTTGTCTGAAAAGTTTGTAAATTTATCTCCTAATATAAAATTTTAAATTTGAAGTTATCCGGACATGCATTAGACACAGATACTTCATGGAAAACAAAGAATTTCAGAGTAACAGAGCATCATATAGTACTCCATTGGATTGTTACTTTTCTATTTGCATTTTACTTTAAGATTACTAAATCAGAAAGCTAACCAAAACCAACAAAATCCAACTCAATCAGAACTTACTAAACGCAAGTTGCAAGGCTTATTCACAATCTTCTGCTTTATCACTATTCCTTGATAGTTATCATTTTCTTAGAACTTATTCACCAAATTCAAAGAACAATGTATACTTTCTTAATAGGGGAAAAATCGGAGATATACCTGAAGGGGACACACCAAGGGAGGTCAAGTCCGGCAGCAGACCAGAGAAGGGCATAATAGGAAATCACAATGTACGACCTTCCGTTTCTCAGCTTCCCAACGTTCTGCTTAGCCCAGGTACACCACGAACAGAAGTGGCGAACCTACCAGAAGGGCGTCGTACCAGAACCCGTGGCGCTGCCGGTCATTTTGATCAACCTGGGCATTGATTACGGGGATTAGGGCCGGAAAATTGAAGAGTGGTGGTGTTCTGCATCAAAGGAGATTTGGGAGAGGGAACCCTAGAAATAACAGTATAAACTGAAAATCGGAGATTTGATCAACAACCATGTTAAATGTCAATAAGACTTCAAATATTCGTAACTGAATTAAATTTGCATGGATTAATGCACTTTGCTAAATTTAAAAAATTAGTGATGAAATTAAAAAGTGTTAAAGTTGAGTAGTCAAAAATAAAAACACAAAAAACTGGATGACCAAAAGTATAGTTTATTATTAACATGCACTTTGCAAACTCGAAAGGGTTCTACAATGAACCCTCAACTTTATAACATCTTAAAATAAAAAAACCCAAAAGGGAGAAAATACACTTTGATTTGAACACAAAACAAAAAGACAAAATGCAAACACACTTCATGCTTTACATGTCCATCCCATCAGCTTCATCATCATCATCCATCTCTTCAACCTTCATCTTCTTCACCGCCTGGGCTGCGGCGTCTCTTGTTGGCCCGTTAGGAATTTGGATCAACACCTCAGATTTTTGGCCGGTGGCAGCGTTAACCAACCCTCCATTTCTCTCCACACGATACACCAAGTCGTTCCCTTGGGTACCGGCATCAATGTAAACCGTGGAGTTCTCGTCAATTTCCTCTCTAACCAACATCCTCGACAGCTCCGTTACCACCCTCTTCTCCAGCCATCTCCTTATGGGTCTTGCACCATATACCTGTACCAGCAAAATTATTAACATCTTCGCCAACATGAAAATATTAATAGACTCCACGATTGAACGGGTATAAAACATGTAAAACGGTGCTTACCGGATCATAACTCTCAGATAATATATAGTCCAGAGCTGCATCTGTTACAGCCAATGCAATACCTCTCTCGGCAAGTCGGCTTGCAACATCCTTCATTTGCAGCCTAGCAACTTTCCTCAATTGGTCATGCGACAGTGGATCGAAGACTACTATCTCGTCCAGTCTGTTCAGCAACTCCGGCCTAAAGTGTTTTCGAACCTGTCAAAACGAAAATATGTTAGTACTTCAATTGCTTCAAAACCAAACTTGGGTATGATACAAAATTTGAGAATTTTGGTTCATTTAACTACCTCTTGCATTACTCGGTCGCGTGCAACCTGCATAGTACATTTTCCGCTAAGCCCCGAGAGAAGATGTTCCGCTCCGAGGTTCGATGTCATGATGATCACTGTGTTTCTGAAGTCTACAGTGCGGCCTTGACCATCGGTTAATCGACCATCATCTAGGACTTGGAGTAAAGTGTTGAAGACGGAGATATGTGCCTTCTCGACTTCATCGAAGAGCACAACACTGTACGGCCTCCGCCTTACAGCCTCAGTAAGTTGACCACCTTCCTCGTGTCCAACGTACCTGATAAACAAAAACAAGGAAAAGAGATGTGAGTTACTACTGTATTATCACATTAAAATGAAGCATAGCATGCACAAGAAGAATCAGCGTACCCCGGTGGTGCACCGATAAGTCGAGCAACCGAGTGTTGCTCCATATACTCAGACATGTCAATCCTGATCAGCTGGTTCTCATCATCAAAGAGTTGTTCTGCTAGTGCCTTAGCAAGCTCCGTCTTTCCGACACCAGTTGGACCCAAGAAAAGGAACGAGCCCGTAGGTTGCTGAGGTCGTCCTAGTCCGGCTCTTGACCTCAAAACAGCCTCTGCAACAGCATCAACTGCTTGGTTTTGGCCCACCACTCTTTGATGCAGCCTTTCAGCAAGCCCAATCAGCCTCTCTTTCTCATTCTGTCCGAGCCTCGTGACAGGAATACCGGTCCAGCGGCTTACAACCTCTGCAATATGTTCGGGTCTAACCGTTTCTGTTAACATTACATTCTCATCTGTGTTATCTGAGTTCCCTTCGAGCTGCGCTATTGCAGATTCAACTTCCTGAATCGCTCCATATCTCAAATCTGCAGCTCTCGCCAGATCATATCGTCTTTCAGCCTCCTGTAATGCGAACATGAGCTCTTCTCGTTTCTGTTTCAGTCGCCTGATCTCATCAACCCTTTGCTTCTCCTTCCTGTATTTCATCATCAATGGCTGAAGCTTGTCCCGCAAGTCATCAAGCTCTTTCCGAACCTAGACCAAAGGAACAAAAGTCAGATCCGATAACCTAAGCAAATTAACATAATAAATCACTTTTATGATAGTAGACACATACTTCGACCAGTCGAGCTTTGCTCGTCTTATCCTTCTCCTTCTCCAAGGCATGCAGCTCGACTTCTAATTGCATCCGTTTCCTTTCAAGATTATCTATCTCTTCGGGCTGACTGTCTAGCTGAACTCTCACATTTGCACAAGCTTCATCGACTAAGTCGATAGCCTTGTCCGGAAGATGGCGTCCTGAATTGAACAAACAATTACAATGCAGATAAGTATCATGTAGGAACTTCAATAGCAGAAAATAACAAATATTATAAGGTGAACCCTAAAGCGTGAAATGCATGAGGAAATGTGCTATATACCAGTAATGTAGCGACTTGACAACTGCGCTGCCACCACTAGCGCTCGGTCTTGAATCCGAACACCATGGTGACCCTCGTATCTTTCTTTCAGCCCTCGAAGGATGTTGACCGTATCTGCAACACTCGGCTCAGCTACATAAACCTGTTGAAACCTTCGTTCAAATGCGGCATCCTTTTCAACATACTTCCTATATTCCTCAAGTGTTGTGGCACCAATGCATCGGAGTTGACCCCGAGCAAGCATAGGCTTAAAGAGGTTAGCCGCATCCATGGAACCCTCGGTTCGACCGGCACCAAGTACTAAATGGATTTCATCAATGAAGAGAATCACTTTTCCTTCGGCTTCCTCCACTTCTTTCAACACAGCCTTCAATCTTTCCTCGAATTCACCTCGATACTTTGCTCCGGCAACCAATGCACCCATATCCAACGCAATAACTCTCACATCGCTGAGATTACTAGGGACATCCCCTCTCACAATTCTTTGAGCCAAACCCTCTACGACTGCAGTTTTACCTACACCGGGTTCCCCAATGAGAACCGGGTTGTTCTTCGTTCTCCTCGAGAGGATTCGGACAACCCTTCGGATTTCCTCGTCTCGACCAATAACCGGATCAAGTTTGCCTGCCTGCTCTACAAGATCCCGACCGTAGGTCTTTAAAGCTTGAAATGTAGTGTCCCCTGAAGCACTCTCCACCTTCTTCCCTTCCTTTCCTCGAAGCTTTTCGACTTCGGATTTCACTCTGGCGGGAGCAACACCGGTTTCCTTTATCAAATCAGCTATATGGGAATCTTCGATGAGGCCAATAATCAACTGATCAACAGCCAAATAAGAGTCTCCGTTGGCTTTCTGTGCCGCCTGGGCTCGACGGATTACCTTAATAAGTGAAGTACTCGCTGGGATTTCATCCGGAGCAGGCGACTGTGACGGTAGCTTCTTCAACGCCTGATTGAACACCCTCTCGGCGGCTTGAGCGGCGCTTTCACCGCCGGCATTGGAGATGGATTGAGGGAAAACGCCACTGGGATCGGAGATTAAAGAGACGGCAAGGTGGAGAGGGGTGAATTGAGCGTGGCCGTTGCTCATTGCTAGCTCATGAGCAGAGGCAAGAACCTCGTTTGTCTTGTGGGTAAACTTGTCGGGATTCATTGTTGTTTAAACTTTGTAAAAATTATAAATCCTATAAACAACAAGAAAAATGAGATTCCCATATCATAAAAATGAACCAAAGATTCACAAAGTTATCATTTTCTTAGCCAAGAAAACACAGATATGAATACATAAAGAATTAACAAAGTAATCATTTTCTTATCCAAGAAAACACAGATTTGAATACAGAAAAAAAACCAAATATGGGTTTCACTCTCCCTTACCTGGTGATCAAAGTCGATATGAAGATTGGTGAGACTCTGAGTTGAAATGTTAAAACAGGGAGTTTCTCTTGCTGTTTTCTTACTGATTAAAAAAGATTTGTTTGGGAATTTGAGAATTGGAATGCTTTGAAAGAGTGAGAATTGATGATTTCAATTGGGAAATTGTGAGAAAGGAGGGAGGGGGAGAGTGGGTTTTTGTAAGAGTGGAAGACGAGTCTAGAAGATGATAGTTGTTGCTAGAAACTACTGGAGTCGATGAGCCGAAGATACCCGATTTCTCTGATGTTATCCACTCGCTCCATATTAAGCGTAAACTTCACGACAATTTATTTAAGGGTAAATTATGTATAGAGTCACTCTTTTATTCTTTTGATTCTTTAATCATTCACCTATTTTTTAAGATAATATATAATATTATATTTTGGTCAACCGTTATTAAAATATTAATGATAGTGCTAGTACTAACCGACTTACCTCAATGGTTAAAGGAATCGTTTTGTTCCTTGAGGTCATGGGTTCGAGCACCAACGTCTGTAGTAGGGTGATTGAGCGTTCATTGTCAAATGGTTAAGAGTATTTAGAACATATACTACTTTGTAATGACCTTAACTTAATAAAAAAATAATGATAATGTTAACATGTTACCATAAGATAATATCACATCATCATTGAAAAATAAATAAATAATTGACATATCAATATTTTTTATTATTTTTAATGATAGGTGACCAAAAAAATATTATCTATAATTTTAAAGAGAATAATAAAATGATTAAAATACAATCATAAAAATAAATAAGTGATCAAAATGTCAAATAATAATATCATTAAATATTTAGAAAGTGAGTGATAAAAATAGAAGTAAATCAAAAAATTTAGTGAGAAAATTGAAAGTTTTAAAATGTAATACTCAAATAAGAGTAAAGATAAAGTTAAGTGGTGAAATTTATAATTTATCCTATTATTAATTCGAAGGAAACAGTTCCCCAAAAGATAAAATAATATATATTGAAATTGTCTAGATATTATTCCACGTGTTGTTTTCTACACGTGTCATGCAACTGATAATTTAAGTATCCAGTGTCCTATACGCTTCCCTAGACACGCTGCAACACACGCGCTGTTTAGATCGGTAGTCATGTTATATATCTAAAAACTGAAATAGCAAGTGAATTACGTGGTAAAAAGGTTTTTTTATTTTTTGAAAATTTGGGTTCAAATACCATGAATGTTAAGAGTATGAATATTTAATGTCAAAAGATTGAGAATTATCATGAATATATAATGTGACGCCCCAAATTTTGGGTTAGTAGTTTTGGGTTTACCCGAGAAGTAGATGGACCTCGTAGAATTTATAATTCAAATCGTTGGGCTTAATTGCGTTGAACTTTGGTCCAATTAGTAATAAGAGGAGGTTTTTTAATGTTAGAAAGTTGATAAAGGATCAAAAGTACAATTACCCCATTTTAAAGGATGAGAGCTCTTATATATCTCATTTCATCTTTTTCCTTTCATTTCTATTTCTTCCATTTTCTCTCCAAGCTCTTAGGGTAATTCTTTTGAGCCATTTCTTGCCTCTTTTATACTTCATTTTCGTTCTAAATCCCTCCAGCAACATAATTTAATGAATCAAAGCTTGGGTTCCTTGTTTGCAAGAGAAAAATGAGAGTTTACATCCAAATCACAAAAGGAAAGAGTGTGGCTAAGCAAGAAGCTTTATTTCAGAATTTAAACATCAATGTAGTGTATTTATAATCCTTTGGAGTGTTAAGGCTTTCATAAATATGATGAATTGATATGATTTGAGTATTTGAGCTTTTAGGGTTTCAAACTTGATTTAAGTCATAGATAATGAATTTGATGTAAAGCACGTGCTTTTAAGACACTTTACGACCCTAATTAGCTCCCTAAAGTTTCAGCACACCATTAAAACCCAAACTATGACCTTATGAGTGATTTTAGGTGTTTTCTCGAGCCTAAATAAACCGTTTTGGGTTCGAGTATTGATATTATGATGAACATTATCAATATTGAATGAATTGGTGTAAAAATTAGGGATTTCAGAAATGAGTATCAATACTGTTGTGGAGAGTATCAATACTGCCCTAGAGTATCGATACTCAGGGTAACAGTATCGATACAGAGTCCCATTTTAGCTTTCGAATACATTTTTGGTATCGATACTCATAGGGGTATCGATACTCATAGGGGTATCAATACTTAACCCTAGGGTATCGATACTACAAGTAGAGTATCGATATTACTCACCATGGTTGATCAGTTTTGACCTGGTTAAGGTCCGTAAGAGCTTAGGATGGTCCGTAATGGTAGAACATAGTCTGAGGGGAACGTAAATGGCCAAAGGGACCCATAAACACTTGTGGGAGTGGGTTACAACCAGAGTAAGCATAAATCATCCAAGAAATCTTCAGTTGGCCATGTAATGAGTATCTACGGAAGAATGACCATTACATAGAGTGTACCGGTAAGCGATATGATCGAATAATCAGATAATAAAGTAGTAGAGTCGTGTACCGTAAGAACGATAAAGAGTGATGAACGTACAGTTATCCCTTAATTTGAGAGCTAGTTGAGATAGTAAGAGTGATAGAGTATCGTTAACTAAAAATAAACCCGAGTCAGGTATCGGGACATCCAATATCACAGCCAGTATCGTAATTCGTAAATAGAGAATACAGTAGTCACTGTGAAGTCATAAAACTCGTAGAGATTTCTCTAAAGTTAGAGAAGTGGCTAAAATGTCCTTAAGTAGAGAACTGCCATATTAGAGCATACTATCAGTAATAACAGACTAATAAACCCTTGCATAAAGTTCTAGATGAGGGGATGATGCAAGATAACAATTAGTAGACTAGTAAATGAGATCAGTAATAACTTAGAACAACTAGAAATAGTAACAACTAGGATGTCATAAAACTAGGCTTTGTGTGTGACACTTGGGAAACAGTCAATACACCCGAGTTACTTTAGCTGTAGAATGATTGTCTTATCTGTCATTGTGTCCAGGTATATACAAGTCAGTGCCAAGGCACTTATCTTGCTAGCTGGGCTCATATACCTTAATACTTGACGGAGTAAGTTGATGGGATGTACGTTTCTGATGTAGAATTTCAGATATCACCTTAGAGTACCTTCAGGTATTCAGGCAGGCTAGAGGGGTGTGTGAGCTCTGAGATGCTGGATCCCTCAGCCGTACCATGACGCCCGCCATAACTTGTTTATTCGATGTTGTGAATCATGTAGTAGTGACAGTGGTAGTTTAAAGGGATGTGTGCTCCGAGATGCAGTCCCTCAGCCACATCGTGAAGCCTACCTCAACTAGTGTATAATGCACACTAGAGTCAATATTGAATTCAGATAGTGCAGAGGAGCATGTACCTACTACTTAATACCATCTCTTCAGTATGTTTGTTTTTATGAAACTTTTAATGTTGCTCTAGATTAGTGATTATATTGTTGGGCTTTGTAAGCTCAGCCTTCGGATTTTTTTCATTAGCATATCATTAGCTTGAGTTATTCGTGGAGTACCGTCACAGTAGGACTTCCATCATCGCCTTTATAGTACTGTAGCATAGCTTAGTGGGCATATGTATTCATAGAAACTTACTCGTGTATTCAAATTTTTGAGAAAGAGTTTGTATTATTTGATTTACATTATGTGTCATGGAGCTCCAGTTTATAAAATGTTTTATAACTGATATTTATGTTTATCATTGATACCATACAATATGTTTAAAAGAAAATAAATAGGTTTTGAAAATCAAAGGTTGCCTCGGTGGCCTAATGTGACACTTTAGGCCCATTCAGGTTTAGGGTGTTACATTTAGTTGTATCATAATGTTAGGTTGAGTCGTTCCTAGGACCTAGTGGTTAGTTTTAGTAAGGTGATAGTGAATACATGCCCCTAGGTACTTAAAGTACTTCTATTAGTCTGAAATCCTAATGGTGCCTCATTTCTTAATCAGTATCGTTGAATTCACGATAACATACAATTTACAACATAATCCTTGTGATAGGATAGAGAGGCGAGCCCCTCATCTCGATAAAGACAGTAAGAAGTTAATGCCAAGGGCAAAGGATATTAGAGTCCCGTTAGGTACGGGAGTCGCAAGGGCGACCTTTTTTTAAAGGTTTAACTTCCACCATCAAGGAGGTGGTGAACATTATTCCTAGAGCTCAAATAGTTCATTCAGCCACCCAAAGTGCGTTAGTGGCAATAGAATTCCCAATAGAGAGATTAAAGAGGTATCAGACAGCCGACTTCTATGGTTTAAGTGGTGATGATCGAATTCAATCAATCAATGGTTAAGAGATAGACCGTGATAACTTTAAGGCAACTTCACCCTACCTAGAGGGTGAGCAGGAGTGTGCCATCACTTTACTCGGAGTGATATTATCAATTAGTGGGAGACTATAGAGATGGCTCTACAACCAAAGGTGCCTACGTTGAATCAGTTTCTGGACGAGTTTAGGGAGATTGCTCAGTGTACAAACAGGAGAGAAATACCTTCTTGGGTTGAGTTATTATGCTCTAGAGCTAGTTGTGACTGAGCCCTTGAAGTAAAAGAGGTTCTTGAGAGGTTTCATTTGGATATCAATGAACAGTTAGTGGAAAATCTTCTCAGAGGGTTTTCATGGTAAAGCATGAGGATAAGTTGGTTGGGTGCGCTAGGCACCCTAAGTACAAGGACTCGTGTATCAATAGATCTATCTTAGTTAGTGATCTATATGGTCAAAAATTGTATTGAGTAAAGGAGAATGACGTCAGCTGAATCACTCCAACTGAGTCAAAGGTTAGTTATAGGGTCTCATAGAAGATCGTCAGCTCCATATTCTGTAGTGAGCTTGGGAAGCTTCAGTTGAATTTTTTATTGCCCAGAGCGTGAGCAGTATGGAAAAAATCATCCAGGAATGTCTTTTAAGCTTTCTAGAAAGAGTTATGGAGATGGGTTCTTGGCGCATATGATAAGTGATTGCCTTAGTTCAAGTGGCATTGTTTCAACTAAACCGAGTGAAGCGATATCAGTAGGTCAGGATGGTTGAGGGCCTCAGGGAGGTTTTAGTTCTATTCTTGGACAAGAAGTAGATGAGAAGATCGATCAGTTCTTGATTTAAAACCATTATCCAATTTACACAACGATTTAAAATTTATTTTCTTAAAATGGTAATTGATATTATAAAAATATCATATCATATAATTTATATTTTGTTATAGCA